TGCGCCAGTGCCCAATCGCAGCGTCAGCTGCGCCGCGAGGAGCGCCGCTTGGCGGTGAACCAGCTCAGCGTCATCTGTAGAGTCCATAGCGCACTGCACCATCACTGCAGCCTTGGGTGAGAATTCAATCCGTGAATAGCAACACAGTCTTTTAAAAAAATTGTTATATAAGTTAAGTGGGCTTCTGGCAAGATCAAGACTACCCACACAAGTCACAAGCATTACATAACAGAACAATGCAAATCAAAACAACATTAAACTTGGACAAGAAACTGCCTGACCTGTTCCTCCTCCCCTCCTATTCTGTATGAACTCATCTAGAAATGCCGGTTCCGTGCTCCGTTTGCATACCTCACCTTTGAATCGCGCCATGGAAGTCACAGGAACCGTCAAAGCCTTCAACCCGTACAAGGGATGGGGCTTTGTGCAGCGGAGGGACGGGGAGGACATATTCCTCCACAAGAAACATGTGAAGGGCGTATGCCCGCAGAGAGGAGACAATGTTCGCTGCAACCTCCGCTTCACAGAGAGGGGAGCAGTGGCTGAGTGTGTCCGGGTCGATTCACCGGTGACCACATATTATGGCTGGATAAAGAGCTACAATTCAGCCCGAGGATTTGGATTCATATCCTCAGAAGCATTTGAACAGGACATCTTTGTTTTATGGTCCGAACTTCCTTGGGGCTTCGGTCCTGTGGGCTGTTCATGCATGTTCAATGTGAGCATGGACGGGAAAGGTCCTGGTGCAAGGAAGGTGAAACTCTTGAGCGCAGCGAGCGCTCAGTTTCACGAATTTCAACAGATGAAGTGGATGTGGGACTGGATCATGGCTGGCGGCAGCGCTTATAACTGCAAAGGCTGGAATTGCAACGGCTGGTACAGCAAGGCCTGATGCTCTCAGCGCGACGCGCGTAGTTTTTTTGCCATGTTGGTGCTTCGTGTCTCAAATTTCCTGTGTTTTGGATGATGAGTTTGGCTGCATAAACATTGCATGTGCATGTTTGTTCTTTGTTGTTCTGAATCGCTGACCGCGATTGGAAAGATGAGTGTACCAAGAAAAGATTCAAAACACTTCATGCAAAGGGAACCCCCGCATGATTGCTTGCCAATCAGATCACTTTTCGTAGGCAGATGGCCATGCGACAAGGGCACGCAAGCTACTTGCCAGCACATGCCAGCACGATAGTGCCAACCTTGGCTACGTGATGCGCCGGCCTTGGCGGCCTGAGGCAAGCTCCTGATGAGTCAGGCCTTCAAAGCGGTGACCCGGAGCAGGCAAGCTGCCTGCTCTGGAGCTGTTGTTGCATGATTCCCACATGTTGGTGCACGAGTTGGAAAGACTAGACTGTTGTTTTTCTCAGCGGTGATAATGGATTGTATTGGATTGTCCTATATCATGAACCATGGAATCATTCCGCTGAGTGTTCTCACATCGTTTCACATGCCGCTTCCATGTTCTGAGCTGTTGAAGAATGCCAGGCCGATCCAGAGACCATGACGCATGCTGTGCAAGGCGCGGCCGTGCATTTATCTGTGTCGAAAAAGATGAATCAAACCGAATTGACTTCAAGACAACTACAACAAGTTTGGTGAGCATCACATGTAGATGTACTTGGTAGCCTGTTTGCCCTAATGTGGATCTGATTCAATTCGATGTATTCCCACTTTATGTTGCCCAAACCTCCTGTGATGTTTTGTTTGTCCCTCCTGAGCATGTCAGCAGGCCATCCTGAGGAAAGCTTGGTCCTCACGACCAGCTCTCCGAAATACGATACAAAAACGTGTCATCTTTTGGCGTTGCCTTCCATCATGCTGGGAATGATAATGGATTTTGCGTGCGACTTTTCTTGGGTTGGGTCGTGTCAACGAGCTGCTGCGGATTTGGCGGATTACGCAGTCAGCCAGTTGCAAGCCCACCAGGAGCAAGCGCTCTTACAATGTTTCCGTTTTCATTTCAACGTGCCTTGTAAAGTGAAAGAGGAAACGAAAGCAGCGCTGAGATCGTTGCTAGCATGCGTGAGATTCACCTGCACGTTCGAACGCAAGAATCCATGTGCTGTGGTGAGATTTATCCATGGGCTCTCAGACTGTCTGCATGATTCTGAAGCAGGTGTCCGGATGGGAGCCTTCAGTTTGTTGAAAGAGATGGCAGAAAGACGTGGGAAGCATGGAAAGTTGCATCGTTTGATTGCAAAGAGCATGTTGGAACTGTTGGATGGAGGATTCAAGAATCTGAGTGAAGGTGACAAAGAACGGGCCATGTCCATACTAGGCACTTGCAAAGATTTAGGCCGGTTTGGGCGACCAGTCGTTTCTGTTCTGCTCACTGCAGCTAGGAAGCGCCAAAGAGGTGCTGCCTCGGCCTTGATGTCGGTGTTGCAGGCGGAGCCGTTGAAGAAGCACCCGAGTGCCATGAAGTTTGTGGAGTCTGCGGAGTCCATCTGTCCCCCAAAACGTTTTCAGTTTCAGTGGATGGACATACAGTATATTACACTTTCTGCCAGCTTTGAAAAGGCAGGAGACTTGAGGCCTTGAGGAGAAAAAAGGGCTTCAGCCGCCAGGGATCTTGAAAGGAAAACCTTGCCTTGGTTGCTCCTCAGCACAGGGCTTCCTGGCAGACAGCTGTCCGATTGAACAAAGGGCTGTTGCCTTGCCAGGAGCCCACTGAGCAAGTAGGTCACGTAACTGAGAAGACTCTCAGCAACTGTGTGAATTCCATGTGTCTCATCATTAGCTTTGCTGCCTTTGAACAGGAATATCGGAATATTTGAGTTCATAAACTGGGGAGTGGCAGGGTAGATGCTGGGGCAGTTTCTGAGGTCTTTCCAGGAAATTGTTGAGGATGGCTACACTGAGCACTGGGTTCATGTTGCTTCAGCTGCTGGACGCCAGCAGTTGTGCTCAACAAAACAGGGTTGTTTTTGTAAAATCTGATGTGTTCCAAATCTATGACCTGAACGCCCGAGACGCAAATGGTCTGCTCACTCGGAGGGTTCAGTTAAGTTACACAATACTGAAGTTCGTCAGCTGACCTCAGCGCCTCAGATGCGGGATGTTTTGCTGTTGCTGAGGCTGGACGCTAAGAGCGATGGCCTCCAACCTCAGAGCGGTGGCCTCCAACCCACTAGCGATGGCTTCCAACCTACTCGCGATGGCCTCCAACCTCTAAGAGCGATGGCCTCCAACCTCTAAGAGCAAAGGCCTCCAACCTCTAAGAGCGATGGCCTTCAACCTAGTAGCGATGGCCTCCAACCTCTAAGAGCGATGGACTCCAACCTCTAAGAGCGATGGACTCCAACCTCTAAGAGCGATGGCCTTCAACCTATAGTAGCGATGGCCTCCAACCTCTAAGAGCGATGGCCTCCAACCTCTGAGAGCGATGGCCTCCAACCTCTAAGAGCGATGGCCTCCAACCTCTAAGA